GTGGGGCGGAGGAGGCGGCGATGGCCGGGGGAGGCGGGGGGGCTGCTGTTTGTTTGCAGCCGGGCCAACTCGGCGGCGCAGGCGGCGGCGGAGCGCGGGGCGCCAGTGGCGGGTCCAGCTGCCGCCGCACCATGCCCGCGCCCACCTCCGGGCAGCCGCGGCGCGCCGCCGGGGCCCCGGCCGGGGAGGATGCCAGACGCCCGGGCGCGGCCGGGGCAGCGGTGGCGGCGGCGGCGGCGCGATGGTGGTGACAGGCTGTGCCCGCGGCGGCGGCGGCGGGGACCGCGCGCCCTCCCGGCGGCGGGGCTGCGGACTCGCGCCGGCCGGGGCCGCGGCGCTGCTGGCCGGGGCGAGCTGCCTGTGCTACGGCCGCTCCCTGCAGGGCGAGTTCGTGCACGACGACGTGTGGGCGATCGTGAACAACCCCGACGTGCGGCCCGGCGCCCCGCTCCGCTGGGGCGTCTTCACCAACGACTTCTGGGGCAAGGGCATGGCCGAGAACACCAGCCACAAGTCCTACCGGCCGCTCTGCGTCCTCACCTTCAAGTGAGTCCCTCACCTCGCGCCTGCAGTCGCCGCAGCTTCTCCTCACCCCCGGCGCGAGCTGGGCGAAGTTGCGGGACCGGCTTGGGGGTGTTCCTTTTCTGGCGGCCCCTTCCCCTCCACGCCTCCCTCCCGTCCTCGCGTCCACGCCACTCTGCTCCGCGGTCCCCGGCCCCGCTTCTCTGGGCTCCCGGGGCGGTTCGGGAGGCGCGGGCTGGGAGTTGGGATCGAGTTTCTCAAGAGTCTGCGCTCGCGGCGAGCTCGCCTCTCCGGCAAGGACTGGGCGCCGGGCTTGCAGAGCGGCTCCCGCACCGCACCCCTGCCGGACAGTGGGCAGGTGCCACGGTGCGGGCCCGGCGAGCCCCGGACAGGGAGGCTGCGGTGGGAATGCTTCCAAGTTGGGAATTTCTCGGAGGCTGTTGGATAGCATCGCTGATGGAGACAGGATCGGTCCCTTTGGGGTCGCGTTCGGAGAGGAGGCGAGAGCTGTGAGCTGCCAGAGCTGCTTGGGTTTTGGGGAGGCGCAGCGGAGGGAGCACAGGCTCTCCCCCGACCTGCAGCCTTTGGTTGCTCTCCAAGCCTTTCCGATCTGCAGGTCTGCGGAAGGGCTCGGGATTTAGATTTTAAAAGATGCAAAGCGAAGGAATGCAGAAGCGTGGGATCCTCCGGGGGTCCTGGTGTCCCAGTCGAAATAGTTTTTGTTTTACAACCTCAGAGTCATGATTCAGCATTTCTGGTGTGAATAAAGTGTAAAGGGAGCCGAGGGAACGCCAGGTTTTTGTAGGGTGGAGTATTTTCTTGAATTTAAAAGAATTCAAGCTTGCTTCAGATGGATGGCGAGGGGGGCTTTGTATGAGTGCTACCTCGTACACCATGAGTTTGACTCAGCCCCTGGTAATTTGGCTCAGAATTTAAGCTTACAATGTGTCGGGCAAAAAACTCAAAATAATATTGGTTCAGTATCATCGGTGTTGTAAGCCTTTTCCAGCGAGTGTAATATGAGTCCGTCTTTATGGCCGTGGTCATCCGAGACGGGATAGGGCAGCTTGAAAAGCTTGCCTCTGGCCAGGAGGCCAAGGTCTCTTGACAGGTGGCTCCGATGACTTAGAAAAGGAAACCATAGCAGTTGGCAGTAATTCATGGGCTTTTGACTTAATTTTTCCATTGAAAGTTTAGTGTTTTAAACAGAGTGAGGAAATTGCACATTTGAATCTGAAGAGAATATTTTATAAACATTTGTCCGCTTAGGAAGTGGTTTTGGTTGTTCCGCTCAAAGATAACCTCAGCTACTGAGTGAATTGCTCAGTACTTTCAGTTTTCCAAATGTTCCTCAAACCTCCTTAGATGGCACAAATATATATGTTTATTTTCTAGATTGACCTGCTTTTTCATTTATTACAGTGAGGGTTGGTGGTTAATTTAAGCTGTGAAAGCTCACAGCATGAGATGTGCTGGGCTTATAAGAGCCATGGAGACCGTCTTGACCTGAGCATTTTCCATTTTAAAAGGTCAGGGCCAAATGCCTGTGCCCACTTGGTGAAAAGTGGGGAAGATGTTTTCACTTCTTGACTTTCTAAAATGTTTTTTCATTCACGCAGGAAATGGCAAGGGCAGAAAAGAGAGGAGTGGGGGAAGGAAGTAGACAATGAAGCAAGGGCATTGATGAAGAGGAATGTTAGCAAGGGTTTGAGGAGACAGGGGTAAGGGAAAAGTTGGTCATGGCCAACTCCTCACTGTGTACTCATTGGTTACAAAATGCAGATTGGTGTCTAATGCTATTGCTCTTTGCATATTGTGTCTGTTTTTTTTTTTTTTTTTAAGTGAGAAGTTTGAGTTGCTGTTCTAGAGAGCAACACAGCACTCATTGGAAAGGGGTAGATGTCTCTTCGAAAGAGAAAGTTCATCTTTCTGTGCTCACAGGTGTGGATTTAAATAGGACCCAGAAGCTTGCTCCTTACTGCATCTTCTGCAGTAGCATAAAGAGGGGCATGTATAAAAGCTGGCATTAATGATGCTAGACCCACCCAACTCTAAAGATTGTTGCAAGGAAGGACAGAGAATCACATTTATTAACTATTCAGTGTGAACAAAGCATTGGCCTAGGCACTTTACATGGATTATGTCTTTATGACTTTAATTTTAGGTAGTTGGTGAAAATAAAGTTAAAGTGGCCTTTTAAATATACATACAAACTATTTCAGTTATATCTTAAGGTAGGCATGCTTGAATAAAAATCTTTGAGAATTCAAAAAGATTTTTTATTTTTGTTTTTATTTTTATTAAAAATTTTTAAGAACTTTTATTCAGTATTGAGAGACAGAGACAAGAGCACAAGTGGGGGAGGGGCAGAGAGAGGGGGACCCAGAATCCGAAGCAGGTTTCAGGCTGGGTGCTGTCAGCACACAGCCCGACTTGGGACTTGAATTCATGAACTGTGAGACCATGACCTGAGCCTAAGTTGGCTGCTTAACCAACTGAGCCACCCAAGCGCCCCATGATTTTTTAATTTTTATTGTAAGAACACTTAAGATTTGCCATTTACAATTTTTAAGAGCTTGATAAAATATTATTAACTATAGGCACAATGATTTATAACAGATCTCTGGCATTCATTTCTCTTGCATAACTGGAACTATATGCCTACTTAACAGCAAACTCTGGGGCTCCCCTTCCCCCTGCCCTTGGTAGCCATAATTCTACTCTCTGTGTTTCTATGAATTTGACGATTTTAGATACCTTATATAAGTACAATCATGTAGTATTTGTCCTGTGACTGGCTTATTTCTCTTAGTGTAATGTCCTTCGAGTCCATCCATGTTGTTGCATAAGACATGGTTTTTCCTTCTTTTTAAAGGCCAAATAATATTTCATTGTATGTATGTACCATTAAAATGTTTTCTAAATTTTTTTTTTGAGAGAGAGAGTGTGTGTGTGTGTGCGCGCGCGCGCGCGCATGCGTAAGCTGAGAAGGGGCAGAGAGAGAGAGAGAGGAGACATAGAATCTGAAGCAGGCTCCAGGCTATGAGCTGTCAGCACAGAGCCCACGTGGGGCTCAAACCCACGAGATCATGCCCTTAACCAAAGTCAGATGCTTAACCAACTGAGCCACCCAGATGTCCCTCTACCACTTTTCTTTTGTTATCCATTCATTTCATGATGGGTAGTTAGGTTGTGCCTGTCTTAGTTATTATGACTAATGCTGCAGTGAACTTAGGAGTGCATATATCTCTTCAAGATAATGATTTCATTTCTTTTGGATTTATAACTTGGGGGTAGGATTGCTGCATTATAAGTAAGTGTATTTTTAGCGTTTTGAGGAATCTGTATACTCTTCTCCATAGGAACTGCACCTTTTGCATTCTCACCAGTAGTGTACAATGGTTCCAGTTACTCTACATCCTTGCCAACACTTACTATCTTTTTTTTTTCCCCATAAAAGCCAGCCTAATTAATTGGTGTGAGTGAGGAGATAACTCATTGTGGTTTTGATTTGCATTTACCTGATGACTGGTGCTAAGCATCTTTTCATGTACTCGTATATCTTTTTTTTTTTTTTTTAAAGTGTATTTGACATACAATGTCCTATTAGTTTCAGATGTACGCCATAGTGGTTTGATGTTTTATACATTATAAAATGGTCCTCACTATAAGTCTAATTATCATCTGTCTCTATACAAATTTATTACAATATGATTGACTAGATTCCCTAGGCTGTACATTAGATCTCCATGACTTATTTATTTTATAACTGGAAGTTTGGACTTCTTTATCCCCTCCCCCTATTTTACCTGCCCCCCCAAGTAAGCCCCCCTTTGGTAACCAATCATTTGTTTCCTGTATCTGCGAGTCTATTTTTGTTTTGTTCTCTTCTGTTTGTTTGGTTCTTTTGTTTTTTAAATTTCACATATAAATGAAATCATATGATATTCTTCTTTCTTTGCTTGACATGTTTCATTTAGCTTAATACCCTCTAGATCCATCCATGTTGTCACAAATGGCAAGATTTCATTCTTTTTTAGGGCCAAGTCTTTTTTGGGGAAATGTCTGTTCAAGCCTTTCGCCCATTTTTTTTTCATGAAGTTATTTGTTTGTTCATTTGTTTTGTTTTGTTTTATCTTGAGTTGTAAGAGTTTCTTATGTATTTGGGGTATTAATAACATATCAGATACATGGTTTGCAAATATTTTCTCCTCTTCCATAGGTTGCCTTTCCACTCTGTTGATTGCTTCCTTTGCTGTGCAGAGGTTTTTTTTTTTTTTTTTTTAGTTTGATGTAGTCTCAGTTACCTAATTTGTTTTTATTGCTTTTACTGTTAATGTCATATTTAAAAAATCATTACTAAGCTTTAACTTCATGAAGTTTTGTCCTGTTTTTCTTCTGGGAGTTTTACAGTTTCAGGTCTTACATTTAAATTGTTAATACATTTCAAGTTGATTTTTGTGTGTGGTGTAGGATAAAGGTCCAGATTTATTCTTTTGCATGCAGATATTCAGTTTTCCCAGGACCATTTAAATGTTGGTCCTTTCCCCGTTGTGTATAGTTGGCCTTTATGTTGAATATCTTTTGACTCTATATGTGTAGGTTAATTTCTGGCCTCTCTATTCGTTTCTTTTGGTTAGTATGTTTGTTTTTATGCCTGTAGTATACTGTTTTAATTGCTGTAGCTTTGTAATATAATTTGAAATCAGAAAGTATGATGATTCCAAGCTTTGTTTTTCCTCAAAATTGTATTGTATATTTGGGGTCTTTTGTAGTTTGAAATGATTTTTTTTCTCTATTTCAGTTTTAAAAAAAGCCAATGGGATATTGATACAGAATACAGTGACTCTATAGATGGTTTTGAGTAGTATGCACATTTTGACAGTATTCAGTCTTCTATGAACATGATACATCTATCTTTTGTTTGTGTCTTCTTTAATTTCTTTCATTACTGACTTAAAAGTTTTTCATCTCTTTGGTTAAGCTTAGTGCTAAGTGTTTTGTTCTTTCAATCCTGTTGTAAA